TATAATTAATATATATCGTCAAATCAAATCTGTTTTTATTGGAATAATGAAACATTTTCAGCGACCTAGACACATATCTTGCTTTATTCCATACCTCATACAATATAATACACGCTACTTCGTCTGCGTAATCAGAATGTGTTCATTAATTGGGGTAAAAAGTATCCTATGTCCTTCTGCATCCCCTATAGTACGTGTATACAAAATTTCATAACGATTGGTTAAACCATTAAAACGCCAAAAGATAACAAACAAACAAAACCACTTTCAAATTCACATATAATAACAGTAAGGATTAATCTCGATAGTTCAACTACACCGATCCCAAACTGTGAAAAATAAACTAAAAAACTCCCAACCATAGAGAGAAAAAGCGTCGAGCAAACAATAAACAAAGCGAATATAAAATAAAAACTGCAAACCCACCATTTCACCGCGTAAAGTTATCCAAGTCGCGTTACGCTCACGTGCAAAATGAAAAAGTGTTTATCGAAGCAAAATGGCGACGAGAAACCTGGGCTTTTTGCCGAAAAAAAATCCTGATCAATATTCGGCGGCGTGAGGGAGGGGGTCCTCTCGGCTTCTCTCGTAATTGGTAGGGGGGAATTTATACGGCGCGCTATCTGCCAAGTCGTATCTACATCGGCATCCAGGCCACAGTTCATTGTATACAGTGCTTCAATTTAATACAATCCTTATATTGAATAACCACTCGGCTGAATTAGGTAAAACCTATATTGTAAAATTTTACAGTAAATTTAAAATCATAATTGGTTAGTAACTCGTTTTCTATAAGACTTTCCAGTTTGCCTGTGACGTCGTAAAGACGTCCTTTTTCAGTCATTTAGCAATCACAACCTAAAATCAAAGTACGGCGTTTTTTAGGCGTCACCGTGTAATTTGAATTTGAAGGCCTTCTTGAGATCGTAAATGAGCATGAAGGAAGAGATTGCAAGAAAATATGATGAACCTTGGAAGGGGCACAATTTTGAACTTCGTACACTCGTATCCCATATGTTTATTGTATGTTGTATCAGCTGTTATTTATCCACTGCTGAACATAGCTGCCCTATCAAAGGGGGGGGGGGGGGGTTGCCAGTTGTTGCCACGCTTGGCAGTCAAGCATGTCTTGGCAGACAAGTTTATTGTAAATACAAGGTGTTCCAATTGGAGTACTAGAGAAATTTGTTGTCGTGCTGTGAAACCTTTTTTATTTACTAAGTACATATAGTATATTAAGAGTAAAATACTTCGTGTGAGAATTTCTAGAAATTATACTACTAAACAATAAAAAAGACAATATTGAGTCAACCTTTGGGTTTACTATAATATACTGTGACTTCGTTATATAAAATTTCCTGTGCATGGGTAGCCTCAACTATATATATTATTATAGATACATACCTAGAGGGCATTTGTAGCTATATATTGCCAAAAGGAAAATAATTAGGGTTTATTGTACAGATAACTAATAATTACTTTTTTTTACGAGCAATATTCAATCTTCTGAAGCGAAATATATACATAATATAACAATAATTACCAAATACATCACTGACAATGATTTAATGAACATAATTAAGCATTGCCGTGTGGTTTCAGCATAGAATAAGCCACCCCGTCCTTTCCCATGGGTGTCGTAAGAGGCGACTAAGGGAACTTAATGGTCGAGCAGCAGCATTAGCAGCAGCGTCCCTCTTAGAACATCACCAAAACCTAACTGCGGTTGCCAATCCACCTTCCAAACGTTGTAACTACTGACAAAACCTCCCTTGGGAGAGTCAGCAGTGCAGTTCAGCAGTTCAGCAAAGGACAGTTAACGGCTGAATTGATGGGGATGATTATGCATAGCATAAATCTTAAGTAATATTTCTGAATAACTCAAACAACAATTTACAAAAAGAAAACTTTAACGCTATGACAAATTTGAATAAAAACTAAATATTATCAAAATACTTAACAGAAACATTGGGAAGGAGAGGAATTGTTGAGAATATGGACTGTTCCCACTATCAGGTTAATCTCCACGCAATACCCACTGGAAACCATCGTGGTTGGATCTAGGTGAGTTCATCATCCAACTGGTCTGATTTTATCACCCACTGGTATTTCGCACGCGGATAACTATAATGCTGACAGAGCAATCATTCCACTTGGGGGAAAGGGATTGTTAGTAATGTGAACTACCAGTTCCATGACTCACAATTTACACGTGGAAATCACTATGCTGAATTCCAGGTGTATACATCACGATGGGCTAACTGACCTGCCCTTTCTTTCTTACTCATCATCCCTCACTGGTGCCCTGCCAGCGTATACTGTTAGCAAAGGCGGGATTATCATTCTTTTATTATCCATTAAAAAAAAACATTCCACCTTCATTACTTAAAAAAGTCAAAGACATTAAGAGCACGCGCGCATTAAAGTCTATTTCTTTTAAACTTAATCAAAACGTAACTAACACTCTGATTTTAATAATAAATTAATCTAAATCTTTCTGTTGTCTGTCTTTTGATTGTTGGATCAATTATTCGATTGTTTACATTTTCATTAAGTTCAACTGAAACGGACTATACCTAATCCCGCGTTCGAACTCCTAAAACAAACTCGAGGCGGCGCGCGCGCATATGCCCACCATTACTGGCCTTCACTAATAGATTGGACACACTTCGGCGCACCTCTGTACAGTTTAGAGCTTTATATTGCATTTAATTTGTTTAGTGAGCGGCTCCTTAATATCGGACCACGGCCTCTTCAAAGAAATCTCCTTTGTTCCCGTAATTACGGCATTTTTCTTTATGAAACACGTGTGGTGGTGGCCTCATTGTTTTGTGTGATCAACGTATTACTCAAGGTCTAGTTCGGACCGTTCTAGCGGTTTAGTCGAGTGACCAGTGATTTAGTGGAAAATAAGCTGCTCGACCGTCCTTTGTGACACGATACGGTCGCCCTCGTATGTTCAACAGAGGATAATGAAAGGTTAAATTATAATTAATCATCTCTACTAGAATAAAACAAGATATTGTTGTCCGATCATAATTAATGACTAAATAACTCTACAAGAAACCATATTACTAAAATAGTTCGCCCTAACTTTTCTACTGAATACGCAAAAACTACACCAAATTGAATGCGGTTTTCAAAGTTATGCTCTTGAAGGTCTAACTTAATATCTTTTAAATGTTTATTTGGAAGTGATCTATTTATTTTCCTACTCCTGAAATCCACGCATACGAAGCAACGAGCGAAAAGCTAATTCGATATAGTCCTATATCTTTATTAAACGTTGTATACACTCTAACCTAAGGAAAATTTTAAAGAGAATGAAATATATTTAAAATATAGATTTTATACCTATGCCTCTAAGGTCTCGATTGGTATACCATAAGATTTAGGCAGGATCAGGGGTGAGGCGGTGACAGTGGGTTGACAGCACCTCCTTCCTTCGATCTTTCAGTCTACTTCAGATTGCGTCTGGGGACTTTGAGCTTTATTTCCAATCAGAAGAGATTAATTCTGAGGCTTCCTTTCTTAGAGCCCCCGATCGCTATAATTTTATAGCGAGAGAAATATTGAATATGAAACAATATATTATTTTAAGTCTGTCTGGAGCATTGTAATGTTTACGTTAAAAATGTTGTTACAATTGTCATTTTTTTATAACAAATCACCTGTATAAACTTGTCCAAATTATAACCATAGTTCTATCAAACATTTTCGTGGTGATAGAGTGATAGATTCTATAATTTGTAGTCATGTGTAAACATGTGTCACTACTCACCAAAAACTTACCTATTTCAATTATATTTTTCGTCGATAATTATTCACGTGTCTATATAAGTATACCTATATAAAAAAAAACTAAAAGATCACGCCGTTTCACCGTCGCAGTACAATGTTGCCAATATCTGTAAAGATTCTCAATAAAACACCCAAAGACAAGTTCGCGGAGCAAAGAGCGATATCAAATGAGGCGATATCAGGTATACATTAAATTCGCATTAGCTTCCAACTACCAGTTTAAAAGCTACATCACACATTTACGCGACGAATCGGTTGCAGTTAATCGACTCCGGTGGACTTTGCAACGTTTATTTTTACGCTGTCAAATACTTTAACATTGTGTATGCGTATTTTAATTGTAGTTAGCGGTACCATAATACCTGTTAGAACGTCACATTAAGTTAATAATTCTTTATATATTATGCATTATACTATATCGATTCGTTTCGTATAATGTGTGATGATGTTTAAGTAACCAACACGGTGGCACATTATTACCAGTTCCAATTTCAAATTACACAGATCACCAAATTCATGTAAAAAAGTAGTACATACTCGTATCATGTAAACATAATTTTTGTTACAATGTTCTACTTGAGTTGACGTTCGTTTCTATGAATAATTTACTTGCTATTCCTACGTATTTACCGTTTTACAATAATTGCGCCCGCCGATAAATGAGATACGTTATTTGTTGTCAAGCAATCATAAATTATGGCAAGTTCATTAATAATGGAATTATTAACTTTAAATTTTTTATACCAAACGGCCGCGTCAGCTCCAGTCATCAATTTTAAATATTTTATTGAAGGTAAAGTGGTAAACCGAATTCATTTTGTTACTTAAAATGCCACAGTGTAGTTAGTAACGTTTAACTCTTTCCAGACAGTCCGAGCAGGATCTTTTAATTGTATAAATTATATATTTCAATTAGTGACTTTTATATATATTTATTTCTAAAGCCTAAATTCAGTTTAGTAATTTAGTCAAGTGACGAGTAGTTTTGTAACAAATAGTAAAAAAACTGTACTGTTCATAGTACTAATACAGTGGTTGTAATAGTAATAACGTAGTTATGTTTAACTGTTAAATTACTCCACACTCGAATGAATTACTAAGTTAGTTCAAACTAGAGATAATATATTACTCTTATTGTTGTCGATACGGCTCGGATATGTCTGATAGAGCCTTAAATAAGGATGTAGATATAGCATTACCTGTAACACGCGTTTTGGTAGACCCGTCTTCTGGCTGAGTTGTTTCAGGTCCTTCGCGTCGGGGTTGTGGTTGATGGTGAAGTAGGACTTCATGGTGCGCAGCTGATGGTGTTTGAAGCTGGTGCGCATGCGCTTCGTCCGCGACGTCGTCCCCAGCGCACCACCACCCCGGTAGCCCATCTCGAGATATTCCGAGTTCAAATCTGGGTACGAGAGAATAATAGTCACGCTGCTAAATACTAAAAACATTGTTAGGTTAATCTTTAAATTATAGTTAAAAATCAATTTAAATGTTAATAATATCAACTCACATAACATCAAATTAGTCACAAATAACACAATTAAATCTAATAAAAAGTATATATATAAAAACGCAGCAGCGCAAAAGAATACCGTGAAATGACACAAAATTAATACCAATTACAAAGTAATGACAAAATTTTGTCACAACAAAACACGAAGTTATAAAAATTCGCGTTGCGAACACACAGATACTGGATCTAAAAATACTTTATTATTGCACCGTGGCTGCATACGACGACGCCGCGCCGTTGACAATTCACATTGAATTGTAATTATTTCTTGTTTTATCTGTGCACAGTATGATAATGTGAACATTTACATATATCACAATTGTAATTGCAATAATTGTTATTATCATTTACGGCCATTTGCACGCGCCGGAAATATTTGTTCTCTTAATATTAATTATGGATATACCTATTATTAATTATTATTAATCAGCGGTGATACTGTCACAAGACATTATGTGTTTTCGATATTAGTACTCGTAACACTTGTACTCTTTCACATTTGAATGACAATCGTACTTCGTATTAGTCAATCATGTACGAACTTTTTAATATACATGTAATGTTAAACATCGTACATTTAAATTAATACACGTGATATTAACGGAGATTTAAAAAAGTAACTGTTGAATTTCTTGCAGGTTCTTCACAGCAAATCTAACATTCTGAACCCTACGATAGAATCATAAAAGTGCTTAGTAAACAAGTCTATTTAAATAAAGATGAATTTGACATTTATGTGTAATAAGTACCAGCCCTATTGACAAACGAATCTATGGATAGAATCGTTTCGCCTAGCGCTCACATGAGGAGGACCGAAATAGCGTGAGTTGCCATCTCGTTCTCTCTCATGGACTCGCCAGCAATAACGTAATCAATAGATTCGTTTGTACTTTGTCTAGGAAAGTTGACCGATTTCCATTATTTGTTATAAACATTTATATAAGAGTACAAGTGTATTTCTAATAATATCAATATGTATACAAAGTTCCACCAAGTGCCAATAATCACAATTGTTAATATACGTATATTAATTTGTTTATAGTAGTATAAATTTGTGAATTTAACAAGTTTTTTTTTTTTTTAATATTCTTTAAGCCTTTATTTGAAGAATAGACGAATAATTCTTTTGCACGAAGAAAAAAACTTACATTTTCGTGGGTTTCTTAAAAATCTTGGCTACCGCGTTTACATTTTAAATTTCTTTGTAGAACGGTTTTTATTGTTTCTACATATTAATAGACGGGTTATATTAAAGATGTTAGTTAAAATAATATACTTTTTATCATTATAATTAATTTGTTACATTTTGTTATATTATTATTGCTTTTTAATTTCTTTATAATATTAAAAATTAATAACTCTTACTAATATTATAAATATAAAAGTGATTTTGTTTATTTTTTTGTCACCTCTTAGCACCGTAAATGATTAAACAATTACAATGTAGCTTGCCATAGGTAATTGGACTAGAATGTTTTAGGCTACGCGTTACCTATATTAATTATGATATATCACAGTCACACGGATTAAACTTTTGATATAGAATATAATAGATAAATAAATAAAAAAAAATCTAAACAAAAATTTACAGACCACCAGCTTGCCCACAGATAATATCTTTTAAGAAAACAATAGAAAGACGAAGTGTTGACGCGGAGATGAGAGAGTTTGATACAAGTATTATTTAGAACTAGAAGTTACCTGCGACTTCGTCCACGTAACGGAATATACAATAATTGACTAGGGTAAATGTGACGTATTTTTATTCCTATCCCAAACACTAAGTGTTTATATGTATATAAAACCTCATGATAATTAATTAATTGATTGAATTCTCACGATTATAATAATAGTAAAGAACATGATACATTGATAATTTAAAAGTAGATTATGTCCTTTTCCATTTCAAATACTATGTATTAAAATCTCATGGTAATTAATAAGGGACAGTCGATAAGAGGCCAAGACGAAATAAACTCACTTTCACATCTAATTGTCACACCTAGCTGATTGTCAAATTAGCTGACTTGTTTTTTTATCAGTGTTCTATATACTTACGCTCATAATGTAACGTCTATCATCTATATTTAATCCATATCTAATTATTTAATAAATAAAATGAGGTTATACGCATTAAAAAGATGCAAAAATTATAAAACAAAATAAATATCGAAGTTACAAAAGAAATACACAAAACTATTTATCATGTAAAATTCTATAAAAAGGTTGACTCGCTTTTTTCGAAGCATTTGTATGGAGACACTCTATCTATATAATTTAAAATATGAGATAGAAATATACACCTGACGGTGTACAATGGCGTGGCATCAGTGAAGAATGAAACATGAGGTCAGAACTGCCATCGTGGCGAATTCGCTAAAATTGACCACAACAGTATAAAGAAGAGACCGCGTGAAGGTCGATCTGTTAAAATATAGTGAAATGAAATGAAGCAAACAAAAAGTGATAGTATATGCATATAAGAAGACCTGATTGGAGGTAAATTAAAATTACTAAATATTTACAATTTTAAAAATTTTTAGTAACAATGTTGCCTCTTAAGCTCTTTAGGTAATGGACTATACCTATACACTAAAAATTTATCAAATTGGCAGTATTATTCAGCATAAATGAATTCGGTTGATAAGAATGGAACTTTAAATAAGTACTAAATAGATAAACGACCTATTAGAGTGCCGCTTAAATTATAAAACTTTTCCCTCTTACCACAAAGGAGCTAAACTAGATAAGGCAAAATAAACAGCCGTTCAATACATGTTCAGAATTCTTACTACAAAAGCGTGTCTAATATTTGTTTATGTTTAAACAACGGAAATTCTATCTTATTAAAAAAATAGTGTTAAAGTAATAAATTTTATTGTAATATTCTAAAGATCTAGAAATATTTAATCATTAAGTCAAATGCTGTTTAGATAAACACCGTTTTATAATATTTTTGTATAATAAGACCGTTTTAGATTTTCGCGGTTGACTATCAAAAATTAACTGTTAAAAATTATCGATCCTAAAAAAAACGAGCCAAAAACATATCACAACTGTTCTTGAAGAAAGTAAAAAAGCTAGGTAATCATATCAATACGTGCCAACATTATCGTTTCGAGTCAAGACGCCGGCCGGGTGTGGCATACCCGTGACGTGGACGGCGCGGGCCCGCGAATTTAACGACCAATAAAAACGCTCTCCTCTAAACATTCCGCAATTACACCACGACTAACAGGGAAACGAAACCGTCGATTTGCTTTAATTGTTTCAAAAAAGTGTGTTTATTTATTATATATTACGTCATCATTTTTTTACTAATTTTAAACATTCACAAAATAATTAATGACTAAGTTATTCAAGAGTCAGCACTACCTTTGTATTTTTAGTACTGAAAATTAAATCTATGTAACCATCATATTTAAAAATTACAACATGATTATAAAAATAAAATAGAATACTGAAAACTATTATATTTAGTTTGTAAAAAAAATCCTATTACTCTAACTATAATAACGAATCAATAACACCAAATTTAGACAATTTAGGCACTACCGTACAAGATACGTAAATACAAATATAATACTTAGCAAAAATTACAATCGACAATTTAGTTCTTTTGAAAGTAGTTTAAAAATATATTCCAGCTGCATCAAAGCTCTTGCAACTCACAACTGCGCCCGTTCCGAGGTTTGAACGCGAACAATTAGTCCGTTGGTAATTATGCAAGGATCCGTTACCGCGTTTTGCTTGCAGCTAATGGTCGCCGATTCGCGTAAAATACTCCATTCCACACTTTCTTTTGAACATACGCCTGCGCTCGCGAATGATTGCCTAAAGTCACGGTATTCGGCAGTATTAAAAAATAAATACTCACGCCTATAATCCGTGACAGAGTAACTAGAGAATTTTTGTCGACTGATTTTATTGTAAAGAACATATCAATAAACTCCTACAGTCCACCAAACATGCTAAAATCATACGTGATACAAAATGAGCTTCCTGTTGCAACTTGGATTGATATCATTTGTTAACGATGTTTCCATCACCGGAAATTAATCAGAAGTTTAAATTGATACTTATTTTTTTTTTAATTGAATTACGAGTATATGTCATGGACAAATATGGCTTAAAACTATAAATACATTTTATATATATGGGAACGAACCAATAGAAGAAAGTTATAACAGTAACAGTGAAAATAAATTCTTATTATTCGAAAATATAATTAATTTGCTCTAAATAAAAATAATAGACAACCCAAAAAATGTTCACTTATCAATTCTTATACTTTTTTTTTATTAACAATTTGCTATTTCTTCGGTTTTAATTAATTATATTATTTTATTCGAAAGTAAAATAGAATATATATTTCTCGGATAAATATATTCAAAAAATGTACAATAGCCAAACCACAGATATAACTCTATAGTGGCCTAAACAATAAAGGCGCTTTCACACTGATCCCAATCTGAATCTCAGTTGACGGAACGTCTAGTGTTTACTCGACATAATTTACGTACTAGCCAACTATAAAATCTGTCTAATATAACAGGAACTGTGAAAGAACTCTAAAATATCCTGTAATACTGGAAAGTTAGTGTAAAGGCAGATCAAGTAAGATTGGTTGGGGTATTCTAGCTTCGGGCGTTCGTGCGCAAACACGCAGATACTGTCAGCTCTGGAGTAAAAGGATTTTAAAGTATTTTAATATTTACCCAAGACATTATTCAATTTGCTACAAAAAGTATTTGAAGATTTTAAATCGTCATATTTACTCATATAATGTAATACATAAGAATTATAATAAGAATATTGGATAGTATAGATATTTTTTAGGAATTTAAATAGCATAAAGAGCAAGTAATCACTACATTATTTAAGAAACG